CAGGTCGCGCTCGCCACAGCTTGTAAGAGCGGGGGCCATTTCAGAGTCAGCCCCTGCTCCTGCTCCTGCTCCTGCTCCCCCCTCCTCCTGCTCCCTGCTCCTGGCCCTCCCGATTGCTGCCCCTGCTCCCGCGGGTGCCCCTGCGCCTGGCTTCCCTCCCTTCTCCATCTCCTCGGTCGGTCGGTGGGTCGTGTCAACGGCGGATGTCGAAGCGTGATCCCTGATACTCCGGTTCCTCCTGCTCCTGCTCCTGCTCCTGCTCCTGCTCCTGCTCCTGCTCCTGCTCCTGCTCCCTCCCTCGCCCCCCCTTGCCCTCTTTTCCGCCTTCGCCCTCCTTGCCGCCCTCGCCCTCCTCGCCCTCGCCGCCCCCGCCCTCCTCGCCCTCGCTCTCCTCGCGCTCCTTGCCCTGCTGCTCCCGCCCCTCCCCCCCGGACGGCGTCTCGAAGCCCCTCTTGCCCTTCTCTGGCGCACCGCGACGCCGCCGCGCGCGGGCCCGGCCTCCGCTACGGAGCGGCGGGGCGCGCCGGTCGGCGAGCATGTCGTAGATAGAGTTGGCCCGCGTCGCGGTGCGCTCGCGCCCGCCTCCGTATGGAGCGGCCGCGCGCCGGTCGACGAGCGGTCGTCCGCGGAGGCGCCGTGTCCAGGGGCCCGTTTTTTTGGGTGCGTCCTGCATGGAGCGAGGCGGACGGGGGTGGCCATGGGATGGGGGAGGGTGGAGGGAGGAGGGAGGAGGGGGAGGAGCAGGAGGGAGGAGGACGAGGAGGAGGATGAGGAGGCGGAGGAAGAGGAGGAGGAGGAACACGAGGAGGAGGAAGAAGAGGAGGAGGAGGAGGAGGACTTTCCACAGGTCTTTCCCGCACCGTCTTAGTCAGCGAGGAGGCGGCAGCGGCGGCTGCGGCGTCCGCGAGATGGGTCGACAAGGCCTTGCCGTGGCACGAACGGGGAAGCCAGAAGGAGACCAAGGCAGCGATGCCGAGAGTTGATGCCATGCCGCGCAAGGGGAGGGCTCGGAGAGAATGCATGCAGCCAGAACACCTGCTACATACCAATAGCGTGACCGAGGGTCTTAGGCGAGCTTAACTTTCGGGCCTTCGGGTACCAGGCTTGCGCCGTGCCCATGCGGGCGAATTCGAGTCGACGCGACTGCAAGCGAGATTGCACAATAATGCCGCGTTGCGATGAATCGCTATGCTACTACACTCAACACGCTCACTCGGAAGTGAATGTACATTGCGGTGTTCGACTCGTTTCAAGGCATATCTCTTCAAGTCTATCTGACCGATGGCCATATATAGATATAGAAACACGCAGTCTGCCAGGTTTATTGCATTTCCCCGCGCGCACTTCCTCATCATAACCCTCATTAGTGCAACCGCATCACCCCCGGTTTCGTCATCATCAATCGCCGCCATTGCCGCCATCGTCAGTCAATCATTTTCGACACTGACACATGGACATCATCATCGTCGTCATCGTCGTCACCAGCATCGGTTCCGTCATTGGCTTTGCCGTCGTCATCGTCATCATCGCCACCACCGCTGCTGCTGTCGTCGTCGTCGTCGTTGGTTGCTGCCGTTGTCGACGTCATCATGATACGGCGCCAGCCTAAATCACCGACCCGCACTGAAGTGCCCGCGTGCCAGCGCGGCCTTTGAGACGCGTTGTGGAGTTCGCATCGGGCAGCCCCATTGCGGCCGCGCCGGTTGTGCCAAACCAGCTGGTCGCTCTGCGCGCGAGTTTGCACGCGCTGGCGCAGCCGCATATATGTGCCAGTCTTTGCAAAGAAGTCACCGCTATCGCGGTTTTCTTGGTTGTGCAAACTAAGTTTCGCGTGGGAGGGTTGTACGACTGCACGAGCAAGTTCTGTATGGCGGGCTTTCCTGTCAAACTTCTGCCGACGGTAGGACCCACATGAGAATCTGTATACTTTGCCTTTCGTTTTTCCCATTCGCCTTGGCGGAGGCTCTCCTCCCGCTCTCTCTTGCGCCGCCTCCTCCTCGTCATCTTCGCCCTTTGTTTCCTACTCCTTTTCGTCCTCCTCCCCTCCTCCTCCTCTCCTCTTTTCTCCCCCCCCTCCTCCTCCCCCCCTCTCCATCCTCCTCGTTCTCTTTCTATGATCATCCTGCCTGTTTTTCCCATGCATCTCCCTTGCCTCCTGGCTGGGCTAAGCCGATGTTCCTTGGCGCCGTTGCCGTCACGGCTGGCATGGGCGCGTTCTCCGATGGCCGGATCGCGAGGTTGCTGGGGCAGCCCCGCGGGCGAGGCCGTTAAGACATTCCCGCGAGCCGCTGGGGCGCGGGAGGCAGCCGTTGGGACAACCCCGCAGGTCCCGAGCTAGCCGCGGCCGCGCTCAGGCGGGGGGCAGTGCGAAACACAGCTTTGCCGCGAGCTGTTCCGCCTCAGTCCTGGAGTTCGCAACCACCTTGTCGAATTCCCGGGGAGCTTTCCGCATGGACGCTGGCGGCCTGCGCTCCAGAAGCTCTCGCGAGGGTGGCCACGGGACCAGCATGTTCCGCATGCGCGTGGCGCGGGAGAACCTGACTGAAAAGGTGCAGCCACGACTGCTCCTCCGACGTGCCCGTGCGACCAACGTCCTCATCCCTGGCGCAGACGATGGCGACGCCCTGGCGCAGCGTCTGGAGCTGCGACAGCGTGGAAGTCAAGGAGAACGCGTGCGTCAGGGTGAACCCCGAGCGGCGCACGACGTGCGGCCCTGAGCTCTCCCACGTGAGCTCCTGCTCGCTCGGCCTGAACGTGAGCAAGCTTTTCTCCTCGCCGAACTCCTGAGCATGGCTTCGAAAGCCCAGAAGTGGCGACAGTTACAGGATTCCGACGAGCCGTTCGGATGAATAACATGGTCCGTGGGCCCCATAGGGGAGGGGCTCCCGCTTGAGACTTCTTCGCAATTCACAGACGAGGCTCCCGCTTGAGACCCCCTCTCAGGAGCCGAAAAGTGATGACAACTACACGTTTCCGATGACCCGCTCGGATTAATTCCGCGAGGTACGGGCCCCGTAGGGAGGGGGCTCCCGCTTGGGATTTCCTCGCAATTCATTTACAGACGAGGCTCCCGCTTGATATTTCCTCCATATTACCCATGGGGAGCTCCACCGAAGGCCCCAGTGGAAAAATCCGCATGCGTCTCCCCCACCCAGCAAAACGTTTCGTGGCCCATAGGGCGCTCCACCGGAGGCCCCAGTGGCAAACTTCGCATGCGTCTCCCCCAGCCAGTGCAGCGTTTCGTAACCCATAGGGGGCTCCACCGAAGACCCCAGTGGCAAACTTCGCATGCGTCTCCCCCACCCAGTGCAGCGTTTCGTGGCCCCATAGGGCGCCCCACCGAATACGATACCCATAATTGCGGTATTCACAACTACATATGGTTGGGTCTTTCGCCAGGCTGATTTTTTGGAGCAAGGGATTCTTGCGACAGCGTCAGCGCGCGCGCAAGGGCGTTCGAGCGATTCCGACACGCGCGCTCGAGAGGCCCGATTGGTAGCAAGTTATGGAAATGTTAAAGAAATCGATGGTGTTCTTCCGAATTCGCACGGACCCGAACGCAAGTTTTTCCCAACCGTCCTGTGTTGAGTGGGGGTCTCGTTTTGAAGACAGAGACCCCGCGTCTCCACCTCTCTCCTCCTCCTCCTCCCGTCACCCTCACCTTGGTGCACCCTTCACGCGTTTCGTGGTCCCAGAGGAGCTCCGCCGAAGGCCCCAATGGCATGATTCGCATACCGCCCCCCCCCACTTTTTGCACACCCTTCGCGCGTTTCGTGGCCCCATAGGGAGCTCCACCGAAGGCCCCACTGGCACGATTCGGATGCCGCCCCCTCCAGCTGGGCACACCCCTCATACGTTTCGTGGGCTCCACGGAAGGCACCAGCGGCACGATTCGCATGCCGCACCCCTTTCATTTTGGCACACCGCTCACACGTTTCGTGGCCCCATAAAGAGCTCCACCGGAGGCCCCTGTGGCATTACTAGCATCGGTGCCATCATTGGCCTTGCTATCGCTATCGTCATCATCGCAACCACCATCGCTACTATCATCGTTGTTGCCGATTTTGTCGACGGCATCACGGCACAGCGCCCCGCCCGATGCACCGACCCACGTTGATTTGCCAATGCGCCAGCTTGGCTTTTGAGACGCGCTGGGGCTTTGCCATCGGCAAGCGCCGTCGCGGCCGCGTCGGTTGTGCCAAACCAGGTGGTCGCACTGCGCGCGAGCTTGCCCGCGCTAGCGCAGCCGCAAAGATGAACCAGCCATTGCCCAGTAATCTTGTGCAGAACAAGTTGCGGGTGAGAGGGTGGGATGATTGCGCGAGCAGTGGAGTTGACGACTTCAGTTTTGCAAGGTGGGTGAAAGTGCACAGCTTTCACTTCCATAGTTTGTAACGCTTTGCTTGCACGACATAGCTTGCACTACATCATTTTCACTGCGTAGATTGCGCCTCCACAGTGCAAGAGCTCACTGTTTGGCATCGGTGCTGGCTAACACATCATGGGAAGCTGTTATGCATATTCTGTCGCCAAAGGTGTAATATTTTTTCATCGGGGCGCTTACGCGCATCCCTTCGCGATCCTGACCAGTCTGAAGGATATTGAATATCAGAGGTGCTGGTACTAAGCTCGCGCTCGCTGGCGTTCACGGAGCAGCTTCCGAACCTCTCGAGCTTGTGTCTGATAGGCTTTTGTGTATTCGCGCCTCGTCACACAGTATTGCTCCACTGCGTTCTGGATCGCTTCGTGGATCGCTCTGTTGGCGAAGTCGGGCTTCTTTTCTCGATTCATAATGGCAGGCTTTTGTCGCTGGCTTTGAAGCTACGCTTCGGCACGCATCACGGAAGCTCGTCGTTTGTGGCCAAGCTGCCGCATTCGTGCCATGTATTCTTTTTTAATCTTCACAGTGGGCTCTTGGGTGCAACATGGTTCACTCTCTATCAGGAGGTCGAAGCTCGCAGCCAGCGAAGTATGATCCCGTAAGCCACCGAGGTTGCGATCTTGCTGTCCCCACGCACTCGCCGTAAACGGTTTGCACCACGTCTTGGCTTCGCGCCATTTCTGCGGGACGATACGGTAGTCCAGCGTTTAAGCAACTCTCTTGTTGAAGTGTTGGGTCTCCTACGCCACATGCGCCTTCAGTGCACATAGCGGATGTGTCTGCAACAGAGGCGCCAGCTTTTCCGATGTGAAGTTGAATTTGCCGAAATGTTGTGAGCCTGAGGCCGCACTGACTTTCTCGAATTGGCTATTCAGCTGTTCAGGTGGGCGCAGATTCCTAGCGACCAGCGTGCCGATGTGTTCCGAAGAACCAGGCGCAGCCACTCCAGCATCGCACAGACCGTACGCTTCCATCTTGGTCGAGAATCGTGTCTTCGGTTCTAGATCCACGGCTATCCGCAACAACTTGAACGATCCCCTCTCCAGTTTGAATTCGTAGCCCTCGGGGTACTTGGAGAAAGCCTCTGGCGCAACATCTGGGACACTTTTTTGCATACGTCCAGGGCGAGACTCCACAACTTCTGTGCGACTCGTGTGTGCCTGTGTGCGTGCTGGCTCCAACATGTCTGCAGAACTGCGTCGCTGGGTGCCTATTAGGCCGATGATGTCCGTGTTGGACATCTCACCCACGCTGTCTTGGGAGCGGAGCTTGTTGGTCGAGAGCGGCTTAAAGGTGCACAGCGAGGCTTCGTTCTTGGGCCGCCGAAGCCCATGTGTGGCTCGAAACGACTGTCGGCAGCGGTCGTGCTGTCTTCAGACGCTGGCTTGCGAGGGGGAAGCCCTCAATTCGGGACGAACATGGCCGCCACCCCCTCCCGCTCCTCCTGCTGCTCCTCGTCCTCACTCAACCTCTCCCGTGCCCTCCACCACCTCTTCTTCATATTCTTGCTCCTCTCACCCCCTGCCCCCTCCCCCTCCCCACCTCGGCTCCCCCCCTCCTCGACCCCCCCCCTTCTCGTTCTCTTCCTTCGCCTCGTCATTCCTCCTACCACTCCTCTCTGCCCATCCTCCTCCCACTGTCCTTCCCGTGCCCGCCGCACCCCGACGCCAGAGACGGTGCAAGGAGGCACGGCGTTTGCGAGGATTGTACATTTCGCAGCACCTGCATTGTTGCAACATGCGCTTGGCTTAGTTCAGTCGTCGAACTTTTTCATGGCATCAGTCATTCTTTTTGCGGGGTCTCGCCCATGCCTTTCTGTCGGTCGACAGGGCATCGCGATTATCCACATCACCTTTTCGTTTCAGTGGACTATGTCTACATGCGTGGCTCCGGATGCAGTGGTCTCAATGCCCACATGCATTTCTGCGCCTCAGCAGTTTCGCACAGTCGGGCATGGCTCACCAGGTCTTAACGCTTACGTTCAGTGTCGCTCAGGTTTCCACTGTTTACGTATCATCGCATGCCATGCTTCATTGAACATTATGCAGTGTCATGTGTTGTACGTATCATAACATGTCATGCTTGTTTGAATGTAGTGCTGTGTCATTTGTTGCCCGCATGAATACGGATTTAAGTGTTGTTTCTGCTGGTTATCCCCACGGGCCCGCACTTTTCCAAGTATAGCACTCCTGATGCAGTGTGAAAAGCTTGTGATGGTACAGGGGTGACTCAGATGGTTGAGCCCGCTCTAGCACCGTGGAGCTGGTACTGGTATGTCCCTGTGCTTCTGAGCCTTCATGGCAGGCTGTTTCTTGAATGTGCGACTGAGCTCGTGCGGTGATCTTCGATTGCCATGCGGTGGCGAAACAGCAGACGTCTGCTCGACCTTCGCTCTCTGCATTGTTGTGCTTCATGTCGCCGAACGGGTCGCAGGCTAGCACGCTAGTCAGCCCAAGGGTGCTGAGATAGGGATGGTGGGAGTTTCACGTGGTATCAGGGTCAGCGTCTGCAGGGTTGGTTTCGGAAGAACCTTCCTAAACACCATCCCAATACATTGTTTACATTCAACGGCTTGCTAAAACCTCCCTAAAGCCTTCCCCAGGGCGTTTTTTTGAAGAACCTTCCTCATAATCACCTTCCTAAAACTTTCCCCCAGGACGTTTTTTTTGGTGTTGTTTGTGGAAGAAGCTTCCTAAACACCTGCCTGAAACTTTCTCCCGTTTTTTGGAAGAAAACCTTCCTAGAAAACCTTCCTAACACTTCATAACGCCTTAAAGCCTTCCTGAAACCTTACTCAGGGGGATTCGTTGGAAGAGCCTTCCTAAAACCTTTCTGAAATCTTCCTCAGGAGTGTTTTTGTTTGAAGAACCCTTCCAAAACCTTCCTAAAACCTTTCTCGGGAGGGTTTTCTGGGGGGGGCCTTCCTAAAACCTTCCAAGACCTTCCCCGTGAAGGTTTTTTTCTTTGGAAGAACCTTCCTAAGCAACTTCCTGACACTGTGTTCAGGAGGTTTTTTTGTTGAAGAACCTTCTCAACATTTTCCTAACACCTCCCTCCGATTTTTTCTCCCCCCTGAGAGAACCTTCCTAAACCTTTCCTAAAATCTTCCACGGGAGGTTTGTTTGGCAGAACCTTTTGAAACGCCTTCCTAAAACCTCCATCCGTTGTTTTCCATGTTTTTTTTTTGTTTGCAAGAACCTTCCTAGAAGCTTCCTGAAACCTTCCTCCGGAGGGCTGTTTCTTGGACGAACCTTCCTAAACTCTTTCGTAAAACCATGCCCAGGAAGGTTTGTTGGAAGAACCTTCCTACAACCTCCCTAACACCTTGCTCAGGAGGGATTCTTTTTGGAAGAGCCGTTCTAAAACCTTCCTAACACCTTCCTCAGGAGGTTTTTGTTTGAAGCACCTTCCTAACAACTTTCCTAAACCCTTCCTCAGGAAGCGTTTTGTTTGGATGCGCCTTCCTAAAACCTGTCTGAAACCTTCCTCAGGAGGGTTGTTTGGAATAACCTTGTTGATTTTTTCCTGGACTCTTCAGTTTTTCCTCTCTTCCCGGAGTTTTTTTTGGAAGAGTCTTCCTAAAACACCAAACCCTCCCCAGGCTTTTTTTTGGGAAGATCCATCCTGGCAGTCTTCCTGGAACTTTCCCCGTTTTTTTTTGTTTTCTGTGCGTGTCGTCTTCTCTCCCGCAAAAGCTTGGACATCAACATATTCTTAACGCCCCCCTGAAACCTTCAGGTTTTTTTTGTTTGGGACAAGGTTATTAACACCTTCCCAACACTTTCCCCCGGAGTTTTTTTTTTTTTTTTTTTTTTTTTTTTTTGTTCTCCCTCTCTACCTCTTTCGGAGGAACTTTCCTCAACACCTTCTTAAAACCTTCCTCCATTTTTTTCCCGTTTTTTTTTGTTGGAAAATCCTCTCTCTTTATATAATATATATATATATATATATATATATGTATATAACCAAAAAACCCACCTAGCACCTTTCGCAGGAGTTTTTTTTGGTGGAAGAGTCTTACTAAAACCTTCCTGAAACCTTCCTCAGGAGGGCTCGTTGGGAAAAGTCATCCTCAAACCTTCCACCTTCCTCAAGAGGGTTTCTGTTGAAGAACCTTCTTAAACGCCTTCGTAAAACCTTCCTCGGGAAGGTTATTTGGGGAAGAGCATCCCTAAAGACCCTCCTGCAACCTTCCTCGGGAGGGTTGGTTGGAACAGCCTTCCTAATTACTTTCTAAAACCTTCCTGTGAGGGTTATCGTTGAAGAATTTCCCGAACGCACTCTAAACCTTCATCGGGGTGGTCCCTACTTGGAAGAACCTTCCTTACACCTTTCTCTGGAGGGTTTGTTTTGGAAGAATCGTTCCAAACCTTGCTAGCACCTTTCTTAGAAACGTTTTTTGTTTTGGTTGGTTTTTGTTATTATTTCTTCCTCTCGAAGACCCTTCCTAAACACCTTCCTGCAACCTTCCTCTGGATTTTTTTTTAAGGGCCTTCCTCAACACCTTTCTAACGCTTTCCTCAGGATTTTTGTTTGGGGAGAGTATCAAGAAAAACCTGTTCCAACACCTTCCTGGCACCTTTCTCGTTCTTTTTTTGGGTTTTTGTTTTATTTATTTATTCGTATTTACACGCGTACATATACATATATGTATCCTCCTTCCTGACATGTTCCCTGGGTGGATTTTTTGGGGCGCACCTTCCTGCAAACCGTCGTAACATCTTCAGCGGGAAGTTCTTTTTTTGTAGTAGCTTTCCTAACACCTTCCTAACATTTCCTCAAGGGGTTCTTGTCTGGACGAACATTCCTAAAACCTTCCCGTCACCTTCCTCAGGAGTTTTTTTGGAGGGAACTGTCCGAACAATTTTCCTAACACCTCCCTCAGGAAGTTTTTTTTTGGAAGGGCCTTCCTAAAGCCTTCCTCAGGAGGGTTCGTTGGACAAGCCTTTCTAATGACTTTTTTGAACCCTTCCTCCGGGTTTTTTGTTGGAAGAACCTTCCTAAAATTGTCCTATGACCTTTCCCAGGGCGTATGTAGTGAAGGGCCTTCCTACACTGTGTCTAACATCTTCATCGTATCTTTACCTATATATATATATATATATATATATATCTCCAAACTACCTTCCTAAAGCCGCCCTGGAACCCTCCTCGGGGGGGGGGGGCTGTTTGGAATACTTCCTTTTCAACGCCTTTTTTAAAACCTTCCTGGTGAGTTTTTTTGAAGAATCTTCCTGCCGCCCTCCTAAAACCTTCCCCAGGAGGTTTTTTTTTGGGCAGAAGCCTCCTAGACACGTTCCTGAAACCTTCCTCAAGAGTGCATTTTGGAAGAACCTCCCTAACACCTTTCGGAACTCTTCATCAGGAGGGTAGTTTAGGAAAAGCCTTCCTAAACACCTTCCTAACACCTTCCTCGGGAGGGTTTTTGTTTGAAGAGCCTGTTTAAACACCTTCCTAAAACCTTTATCAGGAAGGTTTCTGTTGTAGAGCCTTTTGGAAGACCCCGTAAAACCTCCTTTTGAGGTTTTTGTTGTTAAGTTTGTATATATATATATAAGCACACATGTAATTTGTAGAAAAAAAGAAATTTCCTAAAACTTTCCACACGTTTTTTGTTTTTTGCTGTTCTCTTTGTTTGAATAACCTCCCTAAAACCTTCCTGCAACCTTCCTCGGGAGGGTTTGTCGGAAGAGCTTCCTATAACATTTTTTTTTGAAACCCTCCCCAGGAATACATATATACATATACATGTATAATATATCGGTTTTGTTTGGAAGGTTTTTGCAAATGTCGTGGAAGGTTTTTGGCAGGTTTTTGGAAGGTTTTTGGCAGGTTGCTGGCAGGTTTTCGGACGGTTCTTTTTAAGTGTAATGTGTTCTTGAAGGTCTTTTGGAAGGTTTTTGGAAGGTTATTGGAAGGTTTTTTATTTGGAAGGTTCTTCAACAGGTTTTGTCGGAAGGTTTTCGGAAGTGGAATGTATTGGGCGATCGCTCTAAATTTTGCACGGTTGTTGGAATGTTGTTGGAATTTCATTGGAATTTTTTTGGTTGGAAGGTTTTTGTAAGGTTCTGGGCGGTTTTTTGGAAGGTTTTTTTTGGAAGGTTGTTTGGAAGCCTTTTGGCAGTTATTTTGGGAGGTTTTTGGAACAACCTTGCAACAACCTTCCTCCCCCGCCCCCCCCCGAGCCCGGGAAAAACTTTCCAGAATCTTCCAAAACCTTCTCAGGAAGAATACAAGAGGAGTTTCGCGAACTTCTGCGCCGGTCTCTAATGCTAATGATGCTGGTGGTGGTGATGATGATGATGAGGATGAGTATGAGGATGATGATGATGATGAGGGCGAGGACGAGGACGAGGAGGAGGAGGAGGAGGAGGAGCAGGAGAGGGAGGAGGAGGAGGATCAGTGTAAACCCGAGAGCCACCAACGATGTTGGAGTAAATCCTCCCCCCGAGCTCCCCCTTCATAGGCCCCTACAGCGGTTCATTTCCACAGAGGGACTTGCCTCGTGGGAAGACAACCGTTTGAGGACCCTGAAGCATGCCACACAAATTCTTCTCGGTATTCGAACTCCGCGGGCAAACAGGACTGTTGCAACTCGACGATCCTAAATCGTGCCAGAACGCCATGCCTGGGACTTCAACACCGCGAATCATCGTAACTGTTGCGCCCTCATAATCGTGAGTCCTTCGAAAACACCTTACGTCGATCATGGGGATCCGTGAAACTCTTGTCATCTTTGTTTAAGAATGTGCGCGGCGCTAAGGCGAGAACCACATTTTGAAAAAGAGCCGCCCTCAATCCGTGAAGCTCCTGCAACGTTTTGAAATGAATGTACGCGGCGCCAAGGCGAGAGCCGCGTTTTGAAAAGGAACCGCCCTCAACCCGTGAAGCTTTTGCAAACTCTGGAAACGAATGTGCGCAGCGCGAAGGCGAAAACTTCATTTTGAAAACGACCCGCCCTCAACCCGTGGAACCCTTGCAAATTTTGAAAACGAATCTGCGCGGCGCTAGGGCGAGAGCCACATTTTGAAAACGACCCGCTCTCAACCCGTGAAGTTCTTGCAACGTTGCGGCGCTAAGGCGAGAGCCGCATTTTCAAAACCACCCGCCCTCAACCCGTGAAGCTTTTACAGTTACAAAGAACGAATGTGCGCGGCGCTGAAGCGATAGTCACATTTTGAAAACGACCCGCCCTGCATGTGTGAAGATGTTGCAAATGTTTTAGCTTCAGGGTCATAAATGGTGAGGAAGTCTTGGGCGAGACGCCCGGCCCGACCTGAAAACTGGCCTCGGGGTGCGACAGGGAGAAATCAAATACAAGGCGAAGGAAACTGAGGAGGAGGAGGAGGACGAGGAGGAGGAGGAGGAGGAGGAGGACGAGGAGGGGGAGGGGAAGGAGGAGGAGGAGGAGGAGGAGGAGGAGGAGGAGGAGAAGGATAAGGAAAAGGAGGAGGAGGAGGAGGAGGAGGAGCAGGAGG